TGGTGGAGGTACACACCTTTATCCCAGCACTTAGGAGACAGAAGCAGGGATATCTCTGTGATTTCGATGCCAGTCTTCTCTACAGAGCTGGCTCCAGGATAGCCAAAGATATATAAAAAAAAAAAACCCTGTCTGGAAAAAGAAGTAAAGGGGGGGGAGTTGACTATAAGTGCCTAGATAGAAAGATAACTCACCTTCCAGAAACCACAGTTCTAAATATCCAAGTGCCAAATGTGACCTATTTCACTGTGAGTTGCTGGTCACGGAGGTCCTGAAGGTCTTAAAACAAGAGCTATTGTTCTTGACTACCCACAAGTACTTGACGGCAAAACCCTCTTAATAAGGGCATTACATATTTGGTCAAAGGACATGAAGAAATTAGGCTTGTCCCAATATGATAGCTTCTTCTACGCTGTCTAACTTACACAGACCCAGAAGGCGCTATGCTGGCTGCTGGGGGAAAGGCTGTCAACACCTTACCTAGATGTTAACTCTTCAAAGCACAACAATCACCAGCCTAGCCATGTGTGCCCACTGCTGCAACAATGGCATGACAGTTACAGGGGTAACCAACTACTTTCTGATTGGATTTCAGGCCTGCTCCACAGGAAAAAACTCATGGCTGTTACTGTAATCCTGTCCAAGAACCGGTGTTTGGGGAGATCAGGGGTGCTAGGTGAGAACCTACTACTATTATTTTGCTAAGCGGACATGGTATTATACTGCCCTCTCAATATTTATCTCTATACGCAGAGATAGTTCAGCTCTCAGCCCTCATCAGACAAGCTTTTCTCAGTGGACTACAGTTAACACAGTGACTCATAACTGGCCAAGTGCCCAAAATAATTAACTGTAGCATTTTTGATTTTTAAATAGAAGATCTATATCACTCCCTCCCACCAAGGCTCAGGGAATGCTGTAGAAGAGGTAAGTGGAAAGATTGTAAGAGCTAGAGATTGGGGAGGACTGCTTCAAAGCAATATCGTTCAGATATAAGATATCCAATGCGTTCACAAACTCAGTGTTGCTATGGTTACTTGCCTAAGACCTGTACCAGATGGAGTGTCAATATTTCACATAGAAGGGATAGGGGCTTGTGAGACCTCCCCTTCTTCCTTTAGCCTAAGGTAGTCCCAAGGGAAGGGTGTCATGTGTTTCCATGACGTAACAAGTGATACACTGCCCACACTCCAGTTTACAATCTACCCATGCGCAGCAAGGCTACCACATTTAAACTCAGTGGGTGACCTACACACGAGATGGAAGTAGGAGGGGACTCTTTTCTGAAGAATAAAGGTTTCAGGGGTGGAGGATAGGGGAATGAAACATGGTGATAAGGGGGGGGGGAAATGATGAAAACCTCACACATGTTTGTGTGAAACCATCAAATGATAAAAAAATAAGTAAGTTTTTTTTTAAAATAGACTCCAGTAATCACAGTAGCCATAAAGGAGGTAAGGAAGGCCTGGGTATTATAGAAAACCTTAAGAACACAGAGCACATCTGCATTTTCAATGACTATGTGTTCAGAACTCTCCATAAGTAAAATCCTATATAAGCAAACTCTTATTACTCAAATATATGTTCATATTTTTACATGACCCAGTTTCCTGAAAATATTGGCTATTGAATTATTTAAATCACCTTGCATTAAGGAGCTCCATTTTTTTTAAAAAAAGCTTTCTATTTTGTATATTAACTGTATAAAACAATAGCTCATTTGTGACTTTTGTTTGGAGGCAGGGTTCCACTCTGCAACCCAAATTGACTTGGAACTCATTAGCTCTAAACTTATGACAATCTTTCTGCCTCCGCCTCCTGAGTGCCAGGGTTACAGGAAGAAGTGCCATGCCCAATCAATGACTGGGACATTTTCACACACAAATATGACCGTCTTTATCATATTCACTAGCAGTGATTTTCTGCAGAAGTCATGATGTTTAAATACCAGTTCTAATGCTATACAACTCAACTCACAGTATATAGTACAGAAACTAAGATGGACTATAGCTGTGCCTTGCATATCTCTGTGTCCTTAATAATAAACCTGTATGGATACATGTTTCCAGGTCTTAGAAAGAACAAATAAAGCAGAACTCAACATGACGGTTACACAAATTAAATTAGAATATGAATCTAAAACCTAGCATTTGGCACCTTGCAAGCATCTAATAAAAACTAGCTATAGCATACACACACACACACACACACACACACACACACACACACACCTCTAAGCAAAACCTTCCTACAAATTCCTTTGGGTTCTTCTCAAATTTAGAGAATAGCTCTTGTCAGCATCTTGGGTTAGACATTCTATGAATAAATGGGTAGACATTCTATGAACAAACAGGTATACGAGAGGACTCCACCAATCAGTAGCCAATCAGGACACACTCCTCTCACATCACCTCAGGGTAGTTTGAAAGTAGCTTCATGAAATAGAAGCCATCATTTAGTTATTCTGGCTTGGGCACCTCAGATTGAGAGTTTCTCTTGGACCTGGGCATGGTGACTTGGACCTGTAATCCTAGCACTTGGAATGTAAATAGGAGAAGGCTTGCTGCAAGTTCAAGGCTAGCCCAGGCTACATTCTGATACCCTTTCTAAATTTCCTCTCTTCAAAATACCTTTAACCTTGATGGTATTGAGTAATTCTTTTTATTTCCCCTTTATTAAAAGCAGGTTTTAATTGTATAGTTAGGCTTAACGGATTCTAAAGAATCTCCCCTCTGTTACTTTCATCCAGATTTGATAATGGTTGGCAACAACTGGTTACTTGGTTGTTGCAGACCCAGAGTAAAACACTTGCACCTCTAAATAAATATTTGCAGACACCCTGGCCTCTAACTGAAGAGGTTAGGCCCCTGCTGTTGCGGTTGCAGTGGTCATAATCTCCACACTTGGCTCAGTCAACAGTCCTACTTACTGGAAATATGCCTAACTTTCTCAACCCACAAGAATTTATCAAATCCCAACTATGTGTTAGACATCACATTTTGTGTCGTGTAATCAAAGCAACCAAAAATAGCCAAGGCCCTGCTCTCATGAAGTTTACATTCTAGAAAATACTTAGGTGACAGGGAGAGATGGATGGTGATGATGAGAAAAGGTGACGTAACAGCTGGGAGATGAAGTGGGTGTGGAGGAGGCCTCAGCATCAGGGCTCAAAAAAAAGGAGGGTAATTTCACCTCTGTGCATTTTTATTTGGAATAGTGAGTTTGAGGGGGGGGGTAATTAAACCTTTGATTTTAGATAAGAAGTTAATGAGTTTTGAAAATAAACTTCCCCTTTTCCTGAGGGAAAACTGTTCTCACCCTAGCTCCATGCACCCTTTTCGTGGGCTCCAGGGGACTCTGCATTCATTGAATAAAGAACATTGTGGGTTTCTGACTCATAGCTCTCCTTAAGCCCACTTGACCAGGGTAGACCTTGAAGCCCATCCAAATGTTCCTATTCTGTGGACAGCTATGAACCATGGAACAATTTATGAGATGGGGTAAAAGGCACTATGGAGTTCATGCATAGCACCTGCCATTTGTACGAAGAGCTTTCAGTACCTCCTAATTCTGGAGGTAGTGACAGAGGCTTCCTTCTTGCTTTATTGATTAAAAAGCAAACAAACAAACACAAAACCCAAGTATCTTTGAAGAAGTATTCAGGGTGTTTCTTGCCCCCTCCCCTAACACTTGGTAAAAAGGATGTAAAAATGTACATACATGGACATATATGTATGTATATATGCCTGATGGCTTATGACTTGGTTTTATTTTCCTTGTCAAGAGCTTATGTCACAAAAGTTTCATAAGCGTTTTGGTTCTTTTTGCTGTAAGCATCGCAGGCATCTTCAAATTTCCTTCTTGACACATCTTTGCAAAATCTTCACTTGACCTGACTGGTGCCTTCAGACCTGGCAGATGGGCAGATTTTTTCACGGACTGCACCTTCAACACGCAAACCCGATGGCTTTTTGCAGATCCGGTTTTCAGGCTAAGAGAAGAGATGACTGTTCACTCACCAGTGGGAAAATATTTGTATCATTTCTGTGGGTTTCTCTATCCATCAGGTTGCTGGTTATGACTCCAGTATGTGCTAGCAGGTTTTCCCTTAAGTAGGTTTTCGTCTGAAACTATTGACAGTCATTTCCTTGCCTAAAATTATTTCCCCCTTAAAAAAAATTAAAAAAAGAAAAAAATTATTTCCCCCTGATTTGCTCATTTCGGATGTACTACAGAAAAACCCTGCTTGCCGAGCGATTGCTCTTTCCCTCTTTAAGGTCTTTTACTAATAGGAACGTTAACTGACCGCCGAGGGTCCTTTTAGTTTTATTCTTCCTGCCATGCACTCAACTGAAGCAGCCGGACATCTGAGCTGAAGAAGCGGGTGGAGGGCAAGGAGCAGAGGGTGTCCTGTTGGCTACAGGCTCCTGCTGACTGCTGACGAGTCGGTCCGGGTTAACACCAACGCAAGGGTCAGCGCCCTCTGAGTTGGGGGCCTCAGGCATAGCCGCTAAGACTCCTCCTTTGCTTGACCAGAGACCCAGCAGTGCCATGTCCCCCAGTGTTGAGGAACCATCTAGTTTGTAGCGATCCATTGGTTGTTGCTTTACCTAGTGCAGCTCTGGCTCCTCGGAGGGGGACTCCACGCAGACGAAGCTCGGCAGGCTAGAGGAGAAGCCCAGACCTGGGGCTGGAGAGGGGATGAGGGGCTGGGAGGCGGGGTGGGGGGATTTCCTCCCGCGCTCCCCTCTCCAACGGGAGCGGAAAATGTGATTTGCTGTGCATTCCAGGCGCGGTTCCCTGGGGTGACCTCTCCCACCCAGTTGGGCGGGGGGAGTAGACAAAGAGGCGAGGCGGGCGGAGAGGGGACCCCGCAGGGAAGCAGGAGGGGTGCAGTGGGCGGGGGCAGTACCGGGAAAGGGGGCGGATAGCGGGTCCTGCGGTGGCGACCGTGCCTGACCAATGGAGAGACGCGGCCCCGGGCGCCGCGCTTAGCCGGCGGCATTTAAATGGGAGATCCTGAGATGCCCGACACTTGGTGCGCCCTTCGCGGACCTGGAAACCCAGCGCACCGCGGTAGCATCACTCTCCGTCGTTCCTCCGGCGCCGAGCAGAAGTGGCTCGGGCCGTGGTCGCACGCAGGGCCACGAGTCCACAGAGAAGGACCTGGAGACCCACCGCACTGACAGGTGAGCGGGGTGGCACTGGGTGTGTGTGTGTGTGTGTGTGTGTGCGCGCGCGCGCGCGTGCTTTCGCGTGCTCTAGTACCCAGGCTAGTCAAGCGATCCCCAGGGTCCGTACCACTCCAAGTCCCTCTCAGTTGTGGCGTAGTCCCTCGGTGCACCAAAGTCCTGGAGTTCCCTGGGGTGCGCCTTGAAGAATTCGAGCCTGGTGCTTTCTGTCGCGGAGGTAGATACATGGTGACTTCGCTGCGCTGGGTCTGCGGGGGGGGGAGGGAGTAGGAAGAGGAGAGAGATGTCAAGAGAGGGCATCCAGTTTCTACTTGTCGGAGTCCAGCAAACCCCGGTCCTGGAGCTTGAAGCACAGAGCCCGTGGGAGTAGCCAGCCAGTATAAGGCACAGCGTTGCCTGGGTCTGAGCCTGGGAGCCGGGTATGTGTGAGCAGAACCGACCTTGCTACTAGTTGCTATCGGAGATAGTGTCGAGGATGGAGCGCGGGGCTAGGTCTGGGGCGTCTGTAGGGGCGGCCGTCCCAGGGTGCTGAGTGGTAACTGCTGCGGACTTGAGAACTGGTGGCATGTGCGTTTATGGGTATGGCAGATGTGATGGAGAGTTATTAGGTAAGGCAGAATCCGCCAGGCTTAGCAACCTCGAAGAGTCGGGGGTCCGGTATCTCGTAGCTAGAGTGCATTGCTGCCTGCGGTGCTCCTGCGGCACGTGCCACACACTTGTGCTAGCGGTGCGCAGGCCTGCGGGTGACTGTCTGTTCTGAGCCTCTTGGGTTCCGCGCTCTCATCCGTCTTCTGCAGACGTGCAGGCGCCGGGCAGCCACCACCGGCTGGTTCCCACTTCCGTGGATGCCGGCTGATCGGTACCCGACAGGCACTCGTCTCGCCTCGCTGCACCTCGCTAGCAACTCCGCTCTAATATCCACACCGCATCTGCTCCTTGCCGGCTCCTAAACCTTTTCCGTGAGCCCTCTCTAGATAGAGTGGAAGGCTAGAGCGAAGAGGACGTCGATGTGGCTGTCATCTCCGTGGTTGTAGTTATTTGCAGAACTCTAGTTTGGAAAGAATAAACTCGCAATAGCTCTGGACTGGCTGTTTGGCTTCTGGCACGCTTCAGTTTAGTGTTTTCCTATGCCGGGCTCAGGGGAGGATCCACCAGCGAGGCTGGCGAGGACGTGAGGTGATCACCCTTTGCTGGGAATACCTTCTGAGAGCCTAGACTGGCTTGCTGGTCTAGCTCAACAGCCCTCTTCTCTTTCTCAGCCGAATCCAAATCCCGACTCTTTGATGGAGAAATATAGCCTAGAAGTGAGGGGTTAAAATCTCCTCCTAACTGTTGGAGGGCAGAATGACGACCATCAGTAGGTAATCGGATCTCTTGGTGGAAAGAGCAAACCCAAGCGGTGCGCACGTCTGTTTATGTTCCCTTGAGATGGTGCCAGGATACGAACTGATTAAAACAATCTATTGTGTTCAATGGGTCACCAGGGCTTTAAGCTGTCCCTGCGACTCCAGAGTGGTGGTTTCCTTCTGACTGCTCTTACAAGTTAAATAAATAGCGTAGAAGAGGTTAAGATAACCCCATCCCAGGGTGAGGAGTCTTCTTTCACCCCATGGCTGCCCTCCCTCCCTCCTTTTTCTTTTTGGGACAAGGCAGACAGCACAGGGGTCTTGGGAGTACAGGCTTTTCAAAGCAAAGAGGGAAAAGAATCTTAAGAAAACAAGCTCCTCCCTCACTACCACCCCAACCAAGTGTGCAGATGTAGGAGCGTCCATTATTTTCATCGGATACGCTGTACAGTTGGATTTGTTAGACATTACTAATTATTTAAGGGGTGTGTGTGTGTGTGTGTGTGTGTGTGTGTGTGTGTGTTTAACCCCTAGGTCATGGTAGGAATTAGAGTCTTTTGTAAACTTTGTAATTTCACAGCTTTCCCGTTTTCTTTAAAGTTCACTTTGGTTGAAATGTTTTGGTAACCTACAATCTGTAGGAAATCCAGATTGGCTAATGTGGCTTTCACGCCAGGGCTTACACAGGGAAGAGCAGCAGCACATTAAGTCCTCACATCTCTCAGTGTCCACCTCCTGCCCTTCTAAACTGAAGCTCTTGGTGACCTCAGTCTTAATTGTCCACTATCCAAAGTGATAGAATCCAAAGAAACCCCACACCCTAGACTTCTCCCCCAAGAAGTGCTTGGTGGCAGCAAAGCTCTGGAGTATGTTCCAAAATACAAAGCCAAAGATGCACAGGAAAACTCTAACCTTTTATGTCAAGGGAAGAGGAGGGAGGCAGTTAGGAGCGGTGACTGCAGATTTAACTAAAGGCATTGACCAGGCAAGTGCTACCAGCCCATGTCTTACATCTGCAAAGAATTTCCTTTAGTTTTAACATATGTTCTTAGAAATGCAAAGTACAACAGGAATTCCTGTGACAAGAGAAGTCTTTTCCTTCGCATGCAAACATGAAGATACAAAATAGATAATTATTAGATTTACAATATTCTTCAAAATTTATTGCTTTAGAAAGCAAATCCACATGTTCCTTGTTAAATGTACTGTGCTGGATGTCATTGGCAAAGTGACTAAGGACATGTTTGGTGTTAGACAGAACTGGGCTCACATCCTGGCTATCCACTTTATAAACTATGTGACCTTGGATGGATTCCTGGTTAATAACAGGAAGACATTATTATATACCTCATATTTTATTGTGACATTACATGGATAGTATTTAGCATAATGCTTGACATAGTAAGGGCTCAAAAATAAGAGGTACCTTTTTGTTAGTGACTGTGTTGGGCAGGAGAGACCAGAGGGTGATTTTGAATTTAAACTGAAATCCCACTTTATACTTACATAGCTTTTGTTACAAAATGCAGCATATTTGTTGACCATCACTCAGTAGTGCTGTTTGATATTTATATTCTCTAATTCATTTCCCATTGATACAAATATTGTATACAATTACTAACATCACTAAAACATACCTTTTCTAGGAAACCACAGAAGATATTTAACCACCAGGTGTCTCCTTCCCATTCTGTGTTGTGTTAGGTTCCAGCCTGACTTAACCCGAATAGGTGGGTTATAGTTAAGAGTTTGCAACATGCAGGGAATAAAATTTATGATGTGTGCTAATCATTAATTTTTCTTATCTCCTTGATGTAACTTCTCTGAGAAATATATCAACCTTTATTCTTATTAAGGAATTCTCCAGTTAATTTCTAAAGGCTGATTCTAAAATTTAAATTAAAGATCTAACTAAAGCTAACTTTCACTCTTCCTAAAGATTAAGGGCCAAGGGGAAAAGAAAGGGATTTTTTTTTTTTTTTTTACAATCCAGCTAGCCCATAAAGCCTTCACAGTCAATTCCAATGTGTTTTTATGCCGGGAGCTGATGTCATTCTTGTTGCCTGTCTTTCTAAGAGTTGGTCAGCAGCAACAATGGACTAGGTCAGGTACAGATATCTGAAGTTCACTGTAATTCCTACCGGAAACCCCATTTAACTCACTGAGCAGGTTGCTTGGTTAATGTGAGAGACACAATGAGCAATGAGAAGTGTGCTGAAGGGAACTGGTCCTAGATTTCCTAAATACACCAAGAACATTGGAAACAAGTTATCCATACTATTTGGATTTCCAAATCTCCAGAATCTGAAGACTATGCTTCGTGCTTTTCTGAATTTTGGATAAATTATCAGGGTAGAGGTGATTACTATGGCATATCTTGTTTGTAGGTGTTTATTCTTGAACACCTAGGGAACTGGGAACAAGTAGGAGGTAGGGAAGACCTGCTTTGAGGAACTGTCCTTTGAGATAAGTGATTGGAGGAGGGTGGTGGCTAAAGGAGAAGAGATGAAGGTGAAGTAAAGTTTGCTGGCAGAGAAGGGTTTCAAAGAGAACTCACTTAACAGCAGAAATGCATGAAGGGTGATGATAAGGTGAAGTTTGGAATGAAGACTCGCACCGTCTGTAAAGGAGAACCAATGCTTGCTGGGTGTCATGGTGTATGCTCTAAGTTCATGGGATGCTACCCAATGCAATAACGTGAACAAATCATTTTATGAATGGAAATCACTATGGAGTTAATGATTGGACATGGGTGGCAAGACACGGGGACCTAAATCTGGACCAGCTTTTGGGTTGATTTTGAGTGATTCCGCGCACGACTAGGAGTTGGCGTGGAAAGAATGGTCCTCCGGGAAATCCTGGCTTCTTTATTTCTTGCCCACCTGTAGTAGGTATAAGGCACTGTGCATTTGGTGGAAACACAGTTGCAATTTCAAGAGGGAAAACCCCTAATTCCCTGATTGAGTCATCATGGCTAGTTGGTAGGAGGCTTAGATGAGGGGATGCTGACTGGCAGAGCTGGCTTCAGCCGTGCCTGTGTTGCTGCTCCCCATGCCCTTTCTCAAGTGGACCACCAGGACGACCACCAGGAGCACACTGGGCAATCGACTTGAGTCAGCGCACTGCTGTGGCTTCTGTTCCCTGATGTTCTTGGAGGATTTTTGTTTGTTTGTTTTTGTTTTAAAACTTTTTTTCTGAAACAATGTAAAGTTTAAGAACTTGAAAGCCTAACAATAAACATTAAATATTTAAAAGGAAAAGCATTTTAAAATGGAAAAAATACTTTCTACACCCAGTAAATCTTAGTTTGAATGTTTTCTTTTCTTTTCTTCTTTCCTTCAATGACATAGGAACAGAAAGTTTTCCCACACTAAATCCCAAACTATAGTCAAGTAATTGTGAATATATTGCTTGATTGTTAGGTTAAAACAAAATTCATAGTATCTTGCACAGGACCAGATAAAGACTTGAGACCACTAGGGGTTTTTTTAGAAGAAAAAAGACAAGTATTATAGGAAGCTGTCTAGATCTGTCCCGACTCTCAGGAACCAAAGCCCCTGCAGTTAGCTCACACCTAGACACCAGTCACAGTATTTTTAAATGCAAAGAACAGAAATTGTATGTAGAAATTTATGTAGTGCAATAATCAACCACTTAACAAATATTAATAAGCACCTCCTCGAAATTAGGCACAGAGGGTCAGATGGTGCATTAGCTCCCATCAACTCTCAGAATAGGTATCTGTTCTATAACTGATGCAAATATACCAGGAAAGAACAGGTCGGTCTATAAGCCTGAGTCCTGAGTTAGTTGGGAAAAATAAATTGCAGCTTTGTGAATGGATGTTTATAGAACAGTATGGCCCCATGACATAAATTGCTACATGCATTCAAAATACATCCACAGTCATCTTCAGGTTGGCCTCTGTGGCTGTGGACATTGAGACTCTGGGCCTGGAAGGAGTGAATTGGCTTAAAGGTTATTATTTTTATTATTACTATTACTATTATTACCATTATTTTATGTGGAAGAAGGTTGCCAACCTAGGTCTAGGGCCATCTATGTAATATTCTCCTAAAATTAGCAATGAATATGTTTTATTTTAGCTCTTGGCCTTTTAGTTTGGATTCTGGTCCTCAACTGAGAGACATCAGAAACTTGTGACAGTGTCTCAGATTTGCATTGTAGTCTCTGGAAGACAGAGTGGTCATGGATCAAGTTTCTCTGGCCTCTGGAGAAAAATCTGTACTATTTTATAACTGGACTATTTTCATAAGTGATGTTTTATAAGACAAAACAAAGCAATTAATTTTTTTTTGTTGTGGTGGTCATCATGGCTCTGTTTAAAGAACAGGGATGTTGTAACATAGGCTGACAAAAGCCAGGGAAGCTACAGTTGGAACAGGAGTTAAATGTCACATTATCAGCTCCAAACTTGAAGCCTCTCCAAAGTATTAAGTTAATGTGGAAAAATGATGCATTTAAGAATATTTTTAATGCAACATTCAATTATCTTAGTTTGACATTAGCCTTGGGGTTGAATGGTCCTCACTTGCCAGAAGTTGTCCCTTAAAGCAGGTACATCTTACCCTGCTTTTGTCTCTTAACGATGATTAGTCTAGATAATGATACCAGCTTGTCTGGTTTCTTGGAGACTGAGGTTACATTAAACGAGGTTATATTAATAAGCACTTAGTGGTCATCACATGCAATACTGGTATTCAGCGGGGAGAAAATGGATGCTTCACAGCTGTGGTCTTGTGGAACAAACCGTAGGCATGGGGCAAGGGAAGCCTTAGGCCACTGCCATGCTCAGAAGAGAGGCTATGAATTTGAAACTGTTCTCATTGAAAAGAAAATCCTTCGATGTTTTAATAACTCCTAGTGTGCCCCATGCCAACAAGTGTTACAGGCCTCGAGCTGTGTGGAAAGGCCAAGGGACTAAAACAGGGTGTACATATTAACAGTTCCCCAGATGACTGCAGCCAGGCCAGGCAGGCTGTCTGCTGCCTCTCTTTTCCTTCTCCTCCTGTCTGCCCTGTCTTTTCTAAACAACCGTGCCTCTGAAAGAGTCCCCCTTTTTCTGATTTGTTTTGTTCATTCCATTCATGTTCCTGTCTCTCCATCTGGACTTCTTCTTGTCCCCTACCCTAGTTTTGCTTCACTTATTTCTCTAATAAATATTATATATGCTTTCCATATATGAATCAGATGGAGGTCCAGATTTGCTTACAATTCACTGCCCTCAGAGTCTTTGATACGTATGAACGTAAATATTCCATCCACTTATTCTATTGTGCCCATTTTCTATCTTTATTTCTTCATTCACTCTTATATATTTTAGATGTAATTATCTACACACAAAATATACACGTGAGGGGCTGGAGAGATGGCTCAGTGGTTAAGAGGACTGGCTGCTCTTCCAGAGGTCCTGAGTTCAATTCCCAGCATCCACATGGAAGCTCACAACCATCTGAAATAAGACCTAGTGTCCTCCTCTGGCGTGTGGGCATACACGGAGGCAGAATGTTGTATACATAATAAATAAATCTTTAAAAAATATACATGTGACATGAAAATAGAAGAAGGGCTATTTGGGGAAAGGAAGGACACAGGAAAGCAGTAGGGGAAGTAGACATAAACACTGCACAGGGACAGATATGTATGAAAATTCATATTGAATTTTTGCACAGCAACTTAAATATTAAAATCAAAGAAATGAAAGGCCTACCTGGTCAACTAATCAGACAAAAAAATTCTATGCATACATAAAGACCCATAGATGAATGACATATTCCAACACTTAAAAAGGTAGAAAAGTGGAGGGTGCAGAGATGGCTCAGCAGTTTAGAACACTTTCTGTGCTTCCAGATGATCTGAGTTCAGTTGTCAGCACCCACACTGGGTGGATTACAACTGTCTATGGCGTCAGCTTCAGTGACTCTGAGGCCCTCTTCTGCCCTTTCCCGGGGTACACATGACATAAATGCACACACATGACATAAGAACACACACACACACACACACACACAGAGAGAGAGAGAGACAGAGAGACAGAGAGAGAGAGACAGAGAGAGAGAGAGACAGAGAGAGAGAGGTCATGACACAAAGAACGACACCAGGCGTCTCCATCCTCTTACCTCCTGTCCAATGGCCTTCCTCTTTCCTCTTAGGCTGTTCTGTCACAGGCCTCTTGGTCTCTTTCCAATGCCGGAATAGTGAAAAGTCTCATGTTGTCAAATTCAAGAATAAAAAAAAATAAAATTCAAGAATAAATACAGTTAAGTGAACACTGAAAAGATCACATGCAATTGTGTGAAGAACCACTGGGGAGTTGGTGCAATGAAGAGACGGGCCCTGGCTGAACTTAAAGCTTGGCAAATTCACTGTGTGACTGTATTGAATTATTCAGTTTGACGGGCAGGAGAGGAACGGGAATAATAGAATCTAATAGCTGGTGATAATGTAAGAAGTAAGTGCAACTTTAGTGTGTAGAGAGTACGATGTAAGATGTTAGGTGCAATTACTGATTTTTATGAAATAACTTTCTCATTGTCTGTGTCTCCTCTTCTTTGCATCCCTCGTCTAGAATGAACCGCACCGCCTATACTGTGGGAGCTTTGCTTCTCCTCTTGGGGACCTTGCTACCGGCAGCAGAAGGGAAAAAGAAAGGGTCCCAAGGAGCCATCCCGCCTCCAGACAAGGCTCAGCATAATGACTCCGAGCAGACCCAGTCCCCACCACAGCCTGGCTCCAGGACCCGGGGGCGGGGCCAAGGGCGGGGTACTGCCATGCCAGGAGAGGAGGTGCTGGAGTCCAGCCAAGAGGCCCTGCACGTGACAGAGCGCAAGTACCTGAAGCGAGATTGGTGCAAAACTCAGCCCCTGAAGCAGACCATCCACGAGGAGGGCTGCAACAGCCGCACTATCATCAACCGCTTCTGCTATGGCCAGTGCAATTCCTTCTACATCCCCAGACACATCAGGAAGGAGGAAGGCTCCTTTCAGTCTTGCTCCTTCTGCAAACCCAAGAAATTCACCACCATGATGGTCACTCTCAACTGTCCTGAGCTACAGCCACCCACCAAGAAGAAACGGGTCACACGCGTGAAGCAGTGTCGCTGCATATCCATCGATTTGGATTAAGCCAAAGCAGGCACATCCAGCCTGTCATAGCCATGCCGAGAGCCACACCTAAACCACCCGATTCCTACTTGGCTTAAACCTAGAGGTCAGAAGAACCAGCAGTTGCTTCCCGACTGGAGGCTGCTTATGCATAGTGTATGCGCATGAGTGTGCATGGGTGTTGTGTGTGTTTCCAAACACCAGCGGAAACAACCTCTGCTAGAAGGCACTTCCTGTTACTCTGCTTCAGACGGTCGGAAACGCCCACACCACCGGACCCAAACCCACAGGGGCAGGGCTGTAGATGGCTTTGCCTCTGTGTTCCATGCGCCCTCCTGGGCACCAGGACTTCACTTGAGAATGAATACTAACGAAGAGGTAACTCCGAGGGCTGCATTAGACTTGGAACCATTCAGTGCTTGCCCTTTTCTTCCACAACCTATCCCTTTCTTTGCTCTCCCTGATATCTCAGCCTTAGCCCATATCCCTAAATTAATGCATTTGATCGTGGGTGTAAATGTTTTCCAACCTGTGATGAACCTCCAGAATGTGGGGAGACGGTGATGGAGGACAAACAAGATGGAGGATGGACACAGGACCGTTGATCAAGGCTGAGCACCAGTTTGGGACACTGAAATTCAGTATTATGATGTCCAGAGTTTGAAAGCTGTTCTCCAAAAACAGTGTGAGCCTTACTTCGTGAAAGGCTTTTCCTGATATTTAAAAGAACCCAGATACACGGAGGTGAAATATAACCACAGACACACACACACACACACACACACACACACACACACACCCAAACCCCAATTTTCTGTGTCTGTCTCTGTAATCTCCTGGCATTAACTGTAACCCAAAGTTAAAAGTGAAAAATTGACCACTCCTGTTTTAAGAACAAAGCAAGCGAAACAGAAAGAAACATGGCCTCCCATTTTACTTTGCCTCTCAGGGGGACAAATGAGAGTCTTGCACACTGGGATAGGAAAAGACAAAAAACCTCCTTAGCTTGGTTTTGTTGGACTAACATTGCTTTTCTGTTATTCCTGCAAAATGCTTCTGAGATGCACAACACTGTGCTAAAAATCCTGCCTTTGCTGAACACATGTGCCAAAAAGGAGTTGTCTAAGATGAGAGAGCTACCTGCCCCTTTCCAGTTAGACATGAATGGCGGCTTTTCTGTTTTTAGGAAAGGACCAGAAAGGGGGCAGAATCAAAGGGATTGTGGCCAGCTAGGTAGCGTCTGGAGGAGAGCTAACAGCTGAGACTGCTTCTAGAAGGTCTATGAGAAAGTTTCATTAGGACAGCAGAGCGTTAGGTATATTAACAGGCTATCTATTCCCAGTGGGTCAATTCTGCATTGTAATCATTATGTCTCCCATGGATGTTCTTTGAATACATCTGGGCTCTCCAAATGCCTACTTAGCACTTATGTTAGGGCCAAAATGAAAGGTAGCCTTGATCCATTTTGGCCTGGCAAAGCAACACTTCTTAAGATTGAGTGAGATTCTAGCTATAAATGCCCCTTTTTGTCTTTTCCTCTCAGAGTCACTAGTTAAGTTATGTGTCATTTGGAATGTGTCATTCACTGCCCATCAAAGCTGCCACAGTCAAAGAAACATTGGATGTAAAGAAACTATTTTGGTCTAGCTCCCTCCCATGTGGCATCTAAATGGAAACCATGCTGTAAGGCAACAACCTTCTTGAATCCCCAAAACACTGGGTCTCATTTTGAAAGTTGACAAGTCGCTGCTGCTGATTCCATAGTCGATGAGTGTGTGCAAGCCGAGTGTGTGTGCTTCATTGGTACTGTATGTGCCTTCCATGAATCTTTCTGTCATCCACACGCACCACCCACAGGATGGATGCCATTTGAGCCTACAAATGCGAAAGCGAAGTTTTGAGGGAAGTGAAGAACGAAAACTAAAAGAGGAAGAAACTAACATTTAAAACCACACCAGAGAAGAAAGGTGACACTCAGAGCTAAGAAACACCGAGAGTCTTAATTCTGCCACAAGCATGCACTATTGTTATAAAGTAAGTTAGGTTGGCGGCCACAGTCACCTTCCAGGTGCTTAGACGATAGTCTCTCACGTAAGTTGGATTTGGTTCACGTGAAGAGGATTGCCTCAAAATGAACTTCATCGGAACAATCAGCTTCATAAGTAGCCATAAAGCACATCATTGACCAAAGAGGGAAATGCCTGCCTTCCTCACCATGCCTAGACCAAGACCCTCACAAATTCATGCCCTTCATCACGTATCAGAGATGCTCTGTCTGTGGCTGAGTTTGGACTCATCAGTGACATGCTGATGTGTATTTTCTCCAACACTGTAGTGAAACTGTTTTATGGTAAGATAGTTGTGATCTCGATCCTACCTATTAAAATAATGCCAGATACCAAATACAAATCTTATGGGGTTCTCTTTGTGCTTGGTACTGAAAGAGGGAAACCACACACCTTGTAAGTCTGAGTGCTTCTTTGCAACTATCCTTTTCACAGCTCAAAGGTATAAGTGAAAAATCTGGAGGGAAGGATAATTTCCACCATGTGGAATGTGAATAAACAAAAAGTTATGGTTATTTAATATAATTATGAATTCAAGTCCTTTGGTTACTGTGATTTCAAACATGCTTTCTTTCTCTATTTTATATGACGACCTCTGAGTTGAGCAAAGGAGAAACTGACCATTGTACGTCGTTAGGGACTTTTGTCAGGTCAGAGGGAAATGTGATGTTGTCACATATGAGGAGATGTTACCCAGTAAAGGATGAACTTACGTTCTTTAAAATTGTTTGTTGCTTGAAGGTTGACACTTCTGAAACATTTTGGGGAAGACTTAAGTGTTATTTTGAGATACTTATAGTGTATGTATGCAACCAAATCGCAGATAATGATGGCTAGTCCACAAATACATATGAACAGAACATTTCTGAATGAGAAATCCATGCTGAAAGAAATTCTATTGATTTGTCATTCCTCAAGATATTTAACACCATCTACATTGTGTATTTAATCTGCTTTAATCATTTTTAAACAATAAAGGATTATTATATAGGCTATGATCGAACTACCTTGCTATGGATGAGGGTGAGGTGGGATTTAATGGTCTCATAAAAGCTAATTTGGCTTAAAGTTTTATGAATCTGTAATTAGAATTTTATTTTCACCCTAATAACATACTATATAACTGTTGCAAAAAAGCAATCAATAAATTAAACCTCTTCTTTTTGTGTATGTGTGTTTGAATTTTAATGTGGTGGTTGTCTCTCAGTAGGGGCTAGGGGCAGGGAGATGGGCAGAAAAGGGGTCAGGGATTCACTTGACCCAGAAAGGAGGAAGAAGCAAAGTACAATGAGCTCTCTTATTTTAAGAGGAATCTATTCATTATGCCCATATCGTTTGTCCATCTGTCCTCTCTCCCTCCCTCTTTCCTTCCCTCCCTCCCTCCCTCTCTTCCTTCCTTTTTCAATTTATTTATTTTATGTGTATGAGTGCTTTCTCTGCAACTATGCCTGCATGCTAGAAGGGTCATTAGATACCATTACAGATGGTTGTGAGCCACCATGTGGTTGCTGGGAATTGAACTCAGGTTCTCCTGAAGAGGACCAGTGCTCTTAAATGCTGAGCCATCTCTCCAGCCCCCCCTTCCCTCAGATTTTACTGATTCTCTTTGATTTCCACAGTGACACCTCAGACCCACGCAGTTAAAAACAAAGGAGGCTGGCTTGAGACTGAATCACCAGCAGTCTCTCCAAGCTCAGCTAGATGGTACGGTTTTGACAGAGGCCCTCAGAGACCAGAGGGCTTGACACACATATTTGATAATAGCCTTGTTACAGAGGGCTAAGGAAGAAAGATGAAGAGAAAGGTTTGGATTTAATAGGAAAAGAGTCATAACGAGGAGAGCTATCAGCAGTACCATGGACTGACTTGGGGAAGGCGAACTTGTTTTTCTTGGAAATGTTTTAAAATGTGCTAGATACCAATCCATAGGAATACAAGGAAAGTTAGTTCTCTGAGATCATATGAGTTCCTAAGAGTTCATCTCCCCCTGGACATACAGAATCCTGTGGCATTGGTTAGCTGACAGCAGTTATCAAATCCCAGCAACCAGGTGTGGAAAGTGCTAACATTGCACACTGTGCTAAGATGTGTGTCGTTCCACAGTTCTCAGGACAGCTCAATAAGGAAGGCACCATTATCCTCCCTAAGAGATAGACCTCATGTGGTCTTATTGTAAGATTTTTCAGTAAAGGTTGCCAAAGAAGTAAAAATTGTAAGACTTTTCCTCTCCTTAACAAGAGAAAGCAGACCCAACTATTGATGATTGTTTAAGGACGTCCATGCCCCTAGTAGGCATGACCAGGAGCTCAAGCTCAGAAGTACTAAGCTGAAGCTGCCCACCCCTTTCCCCTTTTTGTATACTTGGGGAGTGGGGCGTGGTCTGGAACATCCAGGGGCTTCAGGTAAGCCACATTCAGGCAGGCAGCAACATCTGAATAAGGCTGGAAAGTGGAGTGAACTCAACATAGAAGAACATCGTAGACTCGAAACTTTGTCTCCCACAGAAGAGTAAGGCATCTGAGAGTGGATTACCCAAGAGACTAATTTTTAAATTCATGCCATTCTCCTGCCTCTATCATTTTGGCTACTGGCTCTATAAGCGCTTGTCACTGTGTGCATACTTGGCAGATAAACAAATTCTAAAGAAACAGAGAAAAGCTAGAAACATGATATGTTGATAACCTGGAAATAACAAATCAGGGAAGAATTACAAAAAATAGCCAAATAGAAATTGTAAGGTTGGAAAACTAGTAGCCAAAATGAAAACTCATTAGGAGGGCCTAAAAGTAGATTTGACCAGCTAGAAGATCAAACATGAGAGAGAATGGAGAAAGAGGTAAGGGAAGGAGAGAAGGGTGAGGAAGAAGAGACTAAATTCAAATAGGAAAATTCTAATTACAGCACCCAGGAGGCAGAGGCAGAGGCATGAGGATCTCTGTGAGTCTAAGGCCAGCCTAGTCTCTATGGTGAGTTCCAAACCAGCAAGGGCTACATAGAGAAACCCTGTATCAAACAAACATACAAGCCAAAACCCAACCAAACAAGCAAAAATAAAAACAAAAAACCCAGATATGAAAGAGTAAATATCACTCTTGACCTTAAAAAAGTATTTTAAAATGCATTATAAAAACACTATGAACTGTATGAAAACCTGGTACATAAAAGAAAAAATTAGCTCATGGGCCCTGGGGAGGCAACAATGGATATACCACTGCAAAGAACAAAAATGTGAAGGAGAGGTGGGAAAGACAGGAAAATGGAGCAGTGTGCTCTATTGAAAGAGGCGAGCTAAAGATTTGATGGAAGTGACCAGGGTTGATTCTGGGCCAAGCCCTCCTCTTGACTTTAGGGGATGTGACAAATGTGGTTTCCTGGTCTTATGGAACTTGGCGTTGCTGGTAAAGACAGACATCAGAGAGGCAATAATGATCAATAGAACTGCCTTGGCGCCGAAAAAATGGGCTGGTACCTTATATAGAGAGAAGCTGCTGTGGAGACCGACTCTGGAGACCAACTTCCAGCACTGCATAGCGGTGGGCCACACGTGACAGACAGCGAAGAGACAACTCCCCCCCCCCCCCCTCATCCCCACCCCTGCACGCACTTGCAGCCTCGTGGCACAGACAGGGCAGCTACCACAACCATGACCAAGTACGTGGTGGAGAGATGGTAGGAGAAAGAGAAGAGGAAGGGTTTGAGCACTATGAAGAGAGTTGGACGCGAGATGTAAGGGCGATGAGCAACAGCCCGTGCTGCGACCCAAGGGCCATGTCTGGGGCTGTGGCCCTGCAGCCTCCGGGGTCTCTGTTGATGTCCATGGCCCATGTTACTACCAAACGCCGTCCAATGCCCCTGGTCTGGGCTGCCACCTGGGACTGTGTCAGTGTTCAAAGGCTGAGCAGAGCCTGAGCAGAGGCCCTGCCCCTCACCTGGACAAAGCAGAAGAGATAGTCCCACCTACCCACCCTTGATCCTCTCGCTGCCTATGGCAGGCTGGAGGGCTGGTCCCGAGAGCGGGAGAGACGGCCTGGTACCTCAACAGCCACAGCTCTCACGAGTACGGACCCTGCACCTCATCTGGGCAGCACAGTAGATCTGGCCCTGAGGGTTAAGCGTGGGAAGAGAGCCAGACCTGACCCGTGCCAGCTGCCGAAGGCAGGAGAGTTGGAGTCACCCTTCACCTGGGCGAAGTGGGAGAGCAGGAGGACTCACCAATTCAACTACCACTCAGGCCCAGACCCAGGACTTAAAATTGGCCCACCCCAGTATCTCTTCCACCTAAGAACTGGAGCATTTGAAGGGGCTGGTTCTGCAGAATCAAAGCTGCAAGATCTCCACGACACGGGGCAACAACAGGATCAGAGAGGCGTCCTAGTGAGGATCTAGCATTGTTGGTGTAGCAGAAGCCAGAGGCCTTAAACCAGACCAATGACTCATCGCAATGAACATTTGCAAGTAAAGCTATTTGGACAAAAGGGTATGCTGGGTGACACACTGGTGGCACACAGCTGTTTCCACGATGCGATTTTTTTTTCCCTTTGGGGGCAGGAGGTTGCAAAGGCAGAGGGTAGATATGGAGGGACTGGGAGATGAGTGGGATTGGGGTGCATGATGCGAAACTCACAAAGAATCAATAAAAAGTTTTTAAAAAATAGCAAAAAAGGTCTTTTTTGTCTTTTATAAATTTTATTCGGAGTAGATGAACAGTTTAAGGAAGTTCAATTTATGAATAGTAAATTATTAGAAACCTTCTTAAACATTTTGATAATAGCGAACCTAACTGTGGATTATAGGCTCTGATGACATATTCTAAGTCTTCCTCCTTCTTCTTTCCCTTCTAGCTCATGTTTGGGCAAGCTGACTGGAAGGTTGTCTAATGTGGCAGTAATGGAGGATGGAAGACTTTGCCTTAACTTTCTAATTACCACTAAACCCCAAGCAAGTCTCTCCTCTCTACTTTCCCAAGCTTTGTTCAAGCGGAAGAGGAGTTAATGATCTTTTGTCCTCTTTGGAGTCGTGTGTGCCTTTATCAGCTAAACAACAGAACCAAACTTTAGGGAGGAGTCCACAGCGTTTACGGAGGTGTCCATAACACCTTTACATACTCAAATTACCAAAAATGGCCGTCAGTAGAACGGAAAGTCTGAATTTAGCTATCTTAAGCAAAGAGACTAAATTAACAACTAAAGTTTTTCTGGAAAGTAAAGCCCACCTAGAATAACTTCACCACTTGTATAAGTTCTTGACCAACTTATCCCTGAAAATAGAGGTAATAGGGCCAGGAAATGGTGCAGTGGGTAAAAGAGCTTGGGGATGAGCTGACCACTGAAGTGAGATCCCAGGGCCCATACGGTGGAAGGAGAGAACCAAGGCATGAAAGTTGCCTTCTGATCTCCAAATGCATGCCTTGTCCACACACACACACACACACACACACACACA